TTCTACTATACTCGTCCACAAAATTACAAAGAAAATATATAAAGAAATTTGGATACCTAGATGTCAACAAGTCCAAACACTAATAATATCTAATCAAATGGACTCAATTACAGTAACTGAAACACGAACTAACAATACAATTGTATCACAAAACACTAGGAATATATATCAAATAGCAAAGGACAAACAAGAGAGATGGCATACAATGTTTATAAAATACAACACATCTTCTAATTTCATAAATACAATCATAGACTGAGCAGGCTCTTTGGTTCTTCTTAGCAAAGTTTGGATCATAGGTAAACTAGCCTAAGCCTTATTTTTCCTAGATTAGACAATTTATACTACATTGTAATCACATAATGTACTTATATATTATGATCAATAAAGAAATTGAGGCAAGATCTTGCTTTTTTAAAAAAAAAAAAAAAAAAATATATATATATATATTTTTCTTTTTTTTTTTTTTTTAAGAAAAACTGATAATATACTCTTCCTTTCTTTATTGACCATCACTAGACTTTTATAAAAAAATTAGTTACGATCGAAAAAAAAAAAGTTAATATTTAACAAAAAAAAAGAACTATTCATCATTCTCCAAAGGTGAAAATATAGGAAAGTATATAGTATTCCACTTTAAAAATAAAATACGATTAACTAAATCAGGAGCTAATTGAGTTCTTTTTACTGAAATATTATTTCCAGCATTAGAAAACAATCGTTTACTAGGAACTGATGTAGTAGGGATTGAAAGGTATTTACATGCTAGTTGTGATAAAATAGAGTAACTTATTTGATGCTCTCGCCACCAAACTAAAGGATCAATATTTTTTGGTTCTTCAAGATAATATAAATAATGAGTAACTTCATCTTCTATTTGTAAATAATTATCAGCCTATATTTTTGAGAATATGTCTTTAGCATCATTGATCAAGTTCATTGTTGGATACGGCACCTCAAGATTTTTATTAGTTAACTCTTGCTTAAGCTGAGTATATAAATCCCTTAAAAGAAACTCAGCTTGTGTTTTTTGCTGTATACGATCAGGTCTATTCATAAATGGAAAATTTTTCATTCTAGAATCTAATATCATTGCAGTTAAAGAACTTTCATTAGGCATTTCTCATAATTTGTTTAAAGAAAGATATATAGCAGTTCAAACTTTTTTGATAAGATTTTTTGTATTAACTAGTTGTAAGTATTCAATTTGATTAGTTTCTTTTTCATCTTGTTCATCTTGATTGCAGTTATGACCTTGACCTCGATCTCGACCTTGACCTTGACCACATCTATAACTACGACTATGGGTATTTTTCATCCTCTGTTTAAACTGTTGATATGCATGCTGCAAATATCATCGAGTCCCTGCTATTGGAATATCATCATTATTGCTTATGGAACTTGAATCACTATTATTATCATTTTCTAACTCATCTTCTGATGCTAAAGGTCTATAGATTAGATCTAAATAGCTATTAATAATTTCACCTTCTTCAATCCTTAGTGCGAACACTTGTTTTAACGTATATATATATAGATGAACCATATTTAATATTGAATATGTAGCACCTGATAATCATCGAGTTATAGCTTCAAAGGTTCAAGTAGTTTGATTATTTCTTGAATGAACCTATATAAAAAAAAATGATAACAAAATAAATAAATAAATAAATAAATAAAACATAAATAATAAATAATAAAAAACAATAAAAAACAATAAAAAACAATAAATTAATAATTAATTTAATAAATTAACAGAAATTGGACTACATATCAGATATAATGATAAGTTCTAATTGACAATTATGACTAATAGTACTCTTTATACAGAATACATATTAGGGATGGTACATGGTTTAAATCACAGATTTTTAATTTATTAACATTATATCTGATTTAAATCTTTTTATCTGTTATTAATATTTCGAATTACATGATTTGTTAGTATTCAAGATCAATATTTATAACTAACTTATATATGTTATAAGTAGGAATGGAATTTAAGTAGATACAGAGTTTTTTAATTAAATTTAAAATTTATAATCAGAATAGGTTAATTTAGGGTTAGAGTTTATGTTCGTGTTAGGGTTAGAGTAGAGGATATAGGTTATATAGAATAATTCTATAGCAAAATACTAAATTTATTAAGAAATTCCAAATTCACAGAAATTCTATTCCTACTTACAAAAAAATTTTCTGAACTGCTATGGTAAATGCCCAAGAATGATTATAGCTGTTTTCAAAAAGGTGTGAACGAACATAGACCACCATATCATAGGAAATTGATGATATTTCTCAAATTTCTAGAGTTTTAAAGACTAGCTCTATTCAGGTCTTGAATTTTTTTTTTAATCAGAATTTTGAAACCCACAAATAACCCTCCTTATGAAAACCCAAGTGACATCAATTAAAAAAAACCAAAAAGAAAAATTTAAAAGAAATAACAGTAAAATTTTATTCGTTAATCACTTTACTGATCTTAATAATTTGGCACTGGGATATGACTAATTATAGGATATGACAAATAATCATTTATTATAAAGTTTATATAGTAAATGTTTATTTATAATACTATAATTAGTCATGCCCTAGTATCAAATCATTAAGATCAGTATAGTGATTAACAAATAAAGTTTTACTTACAAGTATTCTCTCTTGCGCACCTATATAATAAAAATTAAATGTTTTTTATATTTACATTTTTTCTTCAATTGTTAATCATAATTTTTCTAACTTTTCTCCTTCTTTTTAAGACGTGCAATCAGGCTTTGCTAGCAATGATGCTGAAACTAGATGAATTGAATTATGTAATTCAAGAAGTCACTTCCATGCAATAAAAATAGAATTCTACCAGGTTTTAGTATCAAGTAATACATCTAAAGAACTTATTTAATTTTCACCATCTTCAGTAATATGGCTTTCATGTTGTGACTCTTTTAGCTGTTATGCCTGCTTAGGGGACCTAAAAAAAAGTTGCAAGCTCTTAATTCGTCTATGTATGCTTTTACATTGTTTTAAACCCTCATGTACAGATAACTACAAAGTATGAGCTACACAAGGTTGTCTTTTAACATTTGATAAAGAATTCTTAATAAGATTAACAGATTTCACCATATTCGTGCTATTATCCATAGTAATAGTAGGAATTTTGTCAGTAAGATTCTATTGCTAAATAACATGATGCAGCTTCTTGCTAATAATTTGACTAGTATATAGATGATCTAAAACATTACAAGTAAGTAAAATCTCATAAAATTTAAATTCTGGACTAAGCCAGGTAGCCATTACTCCAATATATCTGTAGTTGCTTCTAGCTGTCCAAAGATTAGTTGTTAAGTGAACTGAAATAGCAGTATTAAAAAGTAAATCACATAATTAGCTTATGCTCTATGAATACGCTTTATAAATTAACTTTTTTGCTATTTTGTCATATGGAATACGAAATCTAAGCTCACAACTATGAACGAATTCATGAAAATCTTTATCTTGAAGGATATATAATAGCTGCATGAATTTTATTATAAATTTAATTAAAAGGCGAGACAACACTTCTTGACAGGTTTTACTACATTGTAGTAGAAATACTTGGTTTTCTTTTGGCTAATATAAATTAAAAGGCTTTTTATTATATACTATAACAAAAGATAACCAAATATTATTATTAAATACACAATTTCTTACTTCATTATTTGTATCTAAATACGTTTGATAATTTTGTTTCGTTATACTATTGTTACAGATAGCATAGCCTTCTTAGTACATCATAAGTAATAGCGACATGGCTATCTATTTACTTTAAGAAGCGGTGTCCAAGAGGTAAGTTTTTTTAACTAATTATAAAGACAAGTTCCACTCTACAAGAGGCAGTTCGTTTAGATTTATTTAATAACAATATATTTATTAATTATA